AAAAATGAAAATTCAGTCATTATTCACTCATGTCTCAGTCTTGCCAAACCCATATGAACTTTTGGAGAAAATCCTAGCCACTGTTTTCAGTATAATGAAAGTGAAGGACTGGCCAAAAATACAAAAAACACCATAAAAGTATTCTAAAAGTAGTTCTTGTGACTCATGCGCTTGCGCTATATTTCAAGTTTTCTGAAATTACATATATCATATGAGAAACAGACTGAAATTTAACTCATTAATCACTGAAAGTCTTGGAGTAATCATTAAAGAAGCAGCCATGCTTAATTTGTGAACACAGTTTTCCTTTAAGTTGAATCTTCTATATGAATAAAAATATTCTACTCACAAAATCAGTGTAAATAGTTTGATAACAAATTAGACTGATCTGATTTTTTAAAGTCACTCACTGACTTGATGGTCCGATTGCAGTGGTTCAAATTCAACTGGAGGAGAAGATTATCAGTGAACTTAAATTTCAGTCTGTTCATCACATAAAGCCTTTATGTGGCTTCAGATAACTACAAGAGACGTACTCACTACTTTTAGAGGAGCATTTTAATCTTTTTGGAGACTTGAAAACTCCTATTCCTATTTATTCACCAGATTTTCTCTTTTTCTGTTTCACAAGGGAAAACTGTGTTTGGAACAACTTGAGGATTAATTTTTCTGTGAACTATTCCTTTATGTACATTATTGCCTTACTCGCATATCCTATTAAGTAACATGATTTATTCATTGTGTTCTCATTTAGTAAGACATTTTTTTTAACTTTTTTTTATATCAACTAAACAGAATGCAATCTGATCATGGAGAAACCAGTTCGACAGGAAGACTACACTGTAAATTGGTGGCGATCAGTTCCAGTTAATGCAGGAGGACACTGTGCGCTACACCCAGAACGTGGTTACACTGTGGTGGCACCATGAGCTTGAACCATCCCGGGTTTATAAGTAATCAATATTTTCAAGTGGGTCTGATTTGCTCAAAGCATGGCCAAGAATCCGAACTACAGGAAATCTTACACTAAAAGTAATTTAATATTCATAGCATCTCAGAATGATGTTGTTTATTTCCGCAGACAGTACAACTGCATTTGTACGTCTGTATTTGCTGAGTATGATGGCACATCAAATATTGTAAATGTGTAGTGTACATTGTATTTGTCCTGAAGCATACTAAAAGGATGCTTGAACCCAAATAGCTGATGCTTTTACAGAACACAAACCAGTGTATGTTTTTGGATGAATGTAAAATTACAAGAAGTATGATCATTTTTTATGAATATGAATAAATGTGCAATGTATGTAACGACTCAATACACTAAATGCACAAGTGTCTGTAACATATGTCTGTTATATAATGGATTATAGCGGCACTAGACACTCCATCTCCAACTTTACACCCAATGCAATCTGCAGCGCTTGGAGTATCCTGTATTTTGATATGTAATATTATAGCCAGCTAAGGTTAAATATAGCTAAATCTGTCTCAAGTCTTGGCAATCACAGCAAACAAGCTAAATACGCAATGGTAGTATTTACTTTAAGTGTTTCATTGACAAGTTTTCAGTGTACTTCAATGTATGGGCGATTATAGTAATAGTAATCAGTGTGTCACTACCATCAATCTCACTTGAGTTACTAACTAATGTTTTTCCAAGATGCACTGGTGGTCCGTCTCACTGCTGTTGCCACCCATGTCTGTGTTTATTGAAGTGTGCTTCGCGGATACAGTTTCACCTATCCCAGTACCTCATTGCCAGTCATGTCATGACACTGCGAAACTGAACAGCCGTGAGAATGTTGCAAGCTTTTGATGAACACGTGTGTGGACACTCAAACACAGCTGGCTCACTCCATCACAGGACACACCCATTGGCACAGCCCCTAAAAATAATAATAATAATAATAAATTTAAATGAAATAACTATGAAATATAAAATTAACATTACTTTAAAATATTTAAAAAATACTAATAAAATATTAAAAACAATATGTGCTGTTTGAACTCAAATAATTCCTTTATTATTTTAAAAAGCCCAAACCACATTTCATATAATACTTAAATAAAGCTGATGGTAAGTGGTCTACATTTGATTACTAAAATAAACTCATACATGACACTAAAAATGTTTCTATTAGTGTAACAATCCGTAGGTACACTGTAAAAACAATTCTGTCGTTTTTACAAAATAAGTTTGGCAGCTGTGGTTGTCAGAATCATTTTGTAAAAGATACAGAAAAACTGTAAACACATTTAAGGCCAAAAACGAACTTTTACAGTAAAAACTGTCACTGATAAAACTGTTTAGGTGATTTCCAAAACAATATAAACAGCGGTCAAAGGTTAGGTTACTTCTTTTATCGCTAGTATTGTTAGTGAACCGTGTGCGTATTTTAACAACGGTTTTTTAAAGGAATTATACATCTGTCAAATTACTTAATGTAATAAAGGTAGTTTTCGGCTGCAATCTGCAGTTCGTCTTGTGGAACGCAAACTGTTCTTTGGCGCTTCTAGCACATTTGGGCTAAACGTCGATTATCTGAAAAAGCAAAATAGTAAGGGTTTTGCCATATTTGTCGTATGTGATAAGTAAATCTTTAATAAATTGAAAATAATGACAATATTTTTCTTGTTGTCGACTTACCATCCGATACTATTCGCGAGCATCCGTATGGTTGTTATGGTTACCAGATGAACACTACTTACCTAGGCAGCTTCCGTCTATTTTGAAATCAATAATTATTAATAATATAAGTAACTTTTATAGTTACTTAAACTTTGGAAACTCCCGTACTTTAGAAATTCTTGTAGGAAAAGAATATTATTACGATATATAAACAGTTTCCACAAAAATATGAAGCAGCACAACTGTTTTCAACACTGATAATGATAAAAAATGTTTATTGAGCAGCAAATCAGCATATTAGAATCATTTCAGAAGGATCATGTGACACTGAAGGCCGGAGTAATGGCTGTATTAATAATATATATTAAAACAGAAAAAGTTCACAATATTACAAAATCTCACAATATTAGCTTTTACTGTATTTTTTGATCAAATAAATGCAACCTTAGTGAGCATAATAGACTTTCAAACCCATTGTAGAAAATCTTACAGATTACAAACTTTTGAACAGTAGTTCAAATAAAAATATATTTCTTCACATTTCTGCTTTTAAATTCTCTCACTTTTAAATTCTCTCTCACAAACTAACTTTGTGCCACAAATGCTGTTGATTGAGCTGAACTCGCAACAAATCCAGAATTTTCCTTCAACTACGTTATTGTACATAATTGTCTAGTGTCACACATTTCAAAAGTGAACAGAAAACACTTCATTATGTTAATGTAGCATTAGGACACTATCTCTCTGGTACTGTACTTTTGGCCACTTATAAAACTGATAAATTAAGGCAGCACTTGCTGTGCTTTTACATGCTCAACACTAGGGATCAGTGTGCGCTTACGAGAAACTGGAAAAAAACAACAGAGGACATGGTGATCTCATGATGAAAGCAAAATGGCTTCGCTTTCAAGGGAACTTCGAACTGCGTCCTCTAGGGGTCGCTATGGGGACGCCTCGTCGTGACCCGTGTCTGAAGCATACATTGAGAAAACACCAACAACACGTTGGCCGGCGACAGCCCATGACTTCACTACCGGTGCGATTATAATATAAATAGGCACCAGGAGAATCCACTTCTTCGTCTTCACTGACCGTTTTGTTTGAAGCAGTACATTTCCGTGGTAAGAGCGATCTATATTCCTATCATTATGGCGAGCACTAGCAAAGCATTTAGAGGGTGTGTGCATCTGCGTCGTCGTTATTTGACACCTGATGACACACACGATATCTGCGTTGTTTGTTTGGGCAAAGAGCACGCACGCGATGTCCTTGAGGGGGCAATCCGCGTTCATTGTGAGCGTATTTTAATGAAAAGCTCCGCTCTCGTTTGTCTCTCTTTTCGAGGAAAGGGGGGCAGCCATCTGCTTCCCGCGGCTCAGGACCCACCGCTGCTGAGGCACAGAGGAGGATGGGCTCGTGGGGATCGCAGGTGGATCCGGCTGGGGTTTTCCCTCTCGCACTCGTCAGCTGTGGACGAGAGTAAGCTGCTGGAGGATGATGTTATTTCTTTAACATCGTTTGATCCGGGGGCCGGTGCTCTGCTGGGTTCGGCCCGGTAAGAGCAGGAGATGTCTGA